AGGGGAAGACCCTCTATGAGGTGGATTGATTCAGTGACTGGGGTAATCAGGATGGGTGTGTCAGAGGCAGTGCGATTGGCACAGGATAGAGCAGGGTTTTGGGCTGTTGTACACAGGGTCGCTATGAGTCGCAAACGACTCGACGGCACATAACAACAACAACGTGGTACAATATGCTGAGAATGAAAAACAGAAGAAGAATGGTGCTGACGTCATAGTCAAAAAAGTCAATTTCAAGAGTGATAGGATATTACCCTTACACATACAAAGAAGACCCATTAATAGGACTATTATTCAAATATAAGCTCCTACAGCTAGAGCTAAAGAGGAAGAAACTGAAAATTTTACCAGATCTTGCAGTCCAAAATTGACTGAACAATCAAGATGTGTTAATGATAATCGGTGACTAGAATACAAAAGTTGTAAACGGTGAAGAATGAATGAATGAATTTTTTTAAAGAGAAAACTGAACTGGGGGGGAAGTAAAGGAGAGGGAGAAAAACGTGCAACAATGAATGAATGGAAATCCAAGTTTTCTACAAATTTTCATTAAAACCACAATAAAAAATTATTTAAGAAAATATAAAATATAGATTTGGTGATAGGAATGAGGCTGAAAAGAACATGATCTAATTTTGTATTTTCAATGATTTATCAATTGCAAATACCTTTTTTAAGAGACATAAAGGATGACTTTACATATGGAGCTCACTTGATGGGCTGCATGGGAATCAGACAGACTGTATCCATGGAAGGAATCACTGGAGAAGCTCAGTACTGGCAGGCAAAACTAGGCCAGGGGCAGACTGTGGGTCAGACCATCAATTACTCAAGTGCAAGTTCAAACTGAGGCCAAGAAAATAAAAATATGTCCAACCTAAATTAAGAAAATTTAAAAGGCAATCCTGAAAGTTTTAAGTATTTATATGCCTCTATTTACATAACATGCAGGAAGTGGCAAAGGTATAGAAATGAAGGAAAGATTGGTGTCTCTTTAAGGTGCCCCCTGGCCTAGCCCTAAGGTGTCAGTCATGCTGCAAGCCAGAAGGCTACACAGCTCACGGGGTTCCAATCCACCAGTCATGTCACAGGAGACACAGAGGTGGTATCCTTACAAGCTAAGATTTACAGACTCAGACACCTGATGGACGGTCGCATGAGTCAGAACACATGAGGGGAAGGACTGCCTGAGAGGAATATATGATTAGGCGTTGTATATAGGACAACACACTGGAACAAGAGGTGCACTGCCAAGTGGACTTGGGGGGGGGGGCTGGGCAGAGAAGGGGAAGAAGGAAAATGTGCAGTGAATGAATGAATGAAAACTCAACTTTTCTATAAACTTTCATTAAGATAAAAATTTTAAAAAGAGAGAACTGACTTGAAGACATCGAGTTGAAATGTTTTGAAGGGCTTAAGGAGGGAGTGAGGGTCCAAAAGGGCAACCTAAGGTACAGGATCTTTGGGGTGATGGTAATGATCTCTATCTTGACAGTCAGTATCTCAGATGTGATAACACACTACAGCCTTACAGGAAATCACCACTGGGTAAACTAGGCAAAAGGTGCTTGGGGTCACCATATCATTCTGACAACTGGGCATCAGCGATGATCTCAAAAATCAAATGATCAGCAGGAAGAATTAATTTCTCTGCTCCAATAGCAAACTACCGCCAAACTACATACAGTAAAGATTCCCAAGACTCTCTCTCTTACTCATTCCTTTTTTTCAGCAAAGCAGCACCAAAGAAAACCATATTAGAAATACAATCTTCACCCTGACAGAGCTGGTATTTAGACAGAATACATTTTTTAATATCTCATTGTTGATCCTGACAAATGATTAAGGGCAGCAATTCTGGCTTAAGCTGACCCCACAAGGATACATGAATTTCATGGCTGTGACTTTCAAAGCTGATGAGTCCACAGTCAACCTTACGAGAAAGAGCTCTTCTTCCTAATACAAAAGCAAGGAAAGGAAAAGGATTGCAAATTTGTATCACTTTTCAACTGAGGTCACTTCTTAAAGACAGTGTGATTCAATCCATTTCCTTTCCTTTATGAATGTGTTTATTTTATTATATAGGGATTCTTTCTGCATTCCTAATTATATTTGAATGTCAAGATTCTAAAGAGAGTCATCACTACCCCTCTCTATGATTCTGAGAAACAGATTCAGAACTACGCTGAATGCTGAATGTTTTCATTTTTGGAAACTGTTGGCTGCCATCAGAGTTTCACATGTGATACCAATTAGAAGGTGGAAGAGACAACCTCATAGAATGCATGCTGGCTTCTGTGAACAGAATTCTGGAGGAAAAAAATGCCAAAAAAACAAAAGATTTGTGCCACATTAGTAACTGTGGCCTTGCAAGAACAACTGAATTAAGCATATTTTACAACTTTAACATATATCACAAAGCCTACTAGTAACTAAGTCACAAATAATGAACATATATACACACACAAAGCTTACAAAAGAGATGTACTACTAACATCAGGCCTATTAAGAGAGAACAGATTATTTCTACTTATTCACATGAGTTTAAACCTATTCACTAGCACATAAAAAAAAAACACCCCACCTATTTTTATTATCAAGATTAACAGTGATGCTGTTTTAACAAATTCCACAACTCTGTACATTTATAATCTCTCAGGTAGCCTTGGGGCAGGAGGCTGGGCTGCAATCCCAAAGGCACACGGTTTGAATCCACCAGCTGCTCCATGGGAGAAGAATGGGCAACCTCCTCCATGCAATTAACTGAGTCTGAAAACCTGTCAAAAGGGCAGCTATGGGTCGGCTACACAACAAAAACAGCAAGAAAATACTATTAAGAAACACTTAATTACTTCTAGTAAGAATCAATAAAACAGTGAGATTATCTTCTAAACAAAAAAGACAGATGAAAAAGGAAACATACTATTTAGAATTAACTGCTTTACTAGAATGTTCATGGTTATAAAAAAGTAGCTATTAGCTCCAGTGGCCTAGTGACAAGAAGCTGCACTGCAATCCCAGAGGTACATGGTTCAAACCCACCAGAAGCTCTGCTTGAGAAAGAGGTGCAATCTCCTCCTATACCAGTCAGATTTGATTTGATCTGATGGTACACATACAAAAAAAACCCTTTTTTTTAAAAAAGCAGCTGCTGTTGGAATAACAATGTATTGAATTTTTCTTTCATTTTCAATATTTCAATTAAAATTTTTAAAAGTAATTTTTTACAAAAAATGTTACATTTCCAAAAAAAAAAAATGTTACATTTCAGATTTTATAAGGCCAAAAGTGAAAGAGAGACAGGTGGAAACAATAATGAGAGAGCAATGGCAGTACAAAGGGATGTGAGAAGGAAGGTGGTATGGGACAATGTTGTCACTGAGTCAAATACAACTCACAGCGACCACATGCACAATAGAGCTGAACCCTATCCTAGCCTGTGCCCTCCTCATCATCCCTGACCTAGATGAGCCCACTGATGCAGTTACTGTGTTAATATCTTGTTGAGGGTCTTTCTCTCTTTCATTGACTTTCAACAACATCAAACAACAACTGTTGTTGTTAGGCACCATCAAGGACGACTCCTAGTGATTCAATGAATGATTGATCTGAACACTGTCCTATCTGGTGCCATCCTCACAATCTCCAACACACTCAAGCACACTGCCAACATGCCAACCCACCTGGTCAAAGGTCTGCCTATCTTTCGGCATCTCTCCACCTTCCCAAACATGATATCCCTTCGCCAAGGAGTAACCTGTCCTAGCAACGTGCCTAAAGTATGTGAGGTGAAGCTTCATTTTCTTTGCCTCCAAGGAGTGCTGTCTGTACATACCTCTATGTTCTTTTGGCAGTCCATAGGATGTTCAGCAATTCAATTCTTTCTGTTATCCTTACTCATTGTCCAGCTTTCAGATGCTCTTCAAGCAACTTAAAAGACCATGACCCGAATCAGGTGAACCTTAGTCCTCAAACTGACATCATTATGACTCAATAGTTTGGAAGGGTCCTGAACTACAACCTTTCCCCATGTTATATATCTCCTGATCTCCTGACTGCTGGTACTAAGTGTAATGACTGTGGATCCAACTAAGATGAAGTTGCTGACAGTCTTAATTCTTTTCTCCATCCATATAATATTGTCTATGGGTACAATGGCAAAGATTTTTGTCTTTGGATGTTGAGATGCAATCTATATTGAAGTCTACAGTATTTAACCTTCTGCAGCAAGTGCTTCAAGTGCTCCTTATTTTCAGCAAGCAAGATATCTCATCTGTGTAATGAAGGTTATTGATGAGTCTTCCTCCACATCTAATACCACATTCTTCTTCATAGAGTCCAGCTTCTTGAATAATGTTCTCAGCATACAAATTGAGTAAGTATGTAGAGAGTACACAAGCCTGACACACTCCCTTCTTAATGTTAAGCATGCAGCATTCCCTTGCTGTATTTACAGAACAGCCTCCCGATTTCATACAATCAAGTGTTCTGGAATACCCTTTCTTCTCAAAGTTAGCCATAATTTCTTCTGATCCCCACAGTCAAATGCTTTTGCATAGTCAAGAAAGCACAAATAGACATTCTTCTGGTATTCTTTGCTTTCAGCCAGGATCCAACTAGCCTCAACAATGCTATCTCTGGGGCCACGGCCTACTCTAAATCCAGCTTGAACATCCTCTTTCTAAAACTCCCAAATTAAGAAACAAATACACTCGAGACTTCCTGCAATTATGAATTTCCCTTTGTATACCAACAAAAACAAGAAAGAACAAGAAAATGTAACGCCTGGTTTTATTTTACTTCTAGAGTAGTCTGTAGGATCAGACTGTTAAGACTTATATAAGAAGTCTTATAGAAATGACCTGTAAAGTAAATGATCTTGCTTCACTCTTCCAAACAATAATGTCTAGAATGAATGTTCACACCTATCCTTGGTAGTGCCATCCTTTTTGTCAAAGATATTCTTCAAAGGTATCTGAAACAATTCAAAAATAGCATACCTCAGCTTGGCAGAGTGCATGAAGTCCCTGGAGCACCAAGGCTGCTGGAGTCGCCTGATCTGGTTTGGTGCATTCATTCAGCACCTGAGAAATCGCAGCCAACATGTCTGCCCCGTGCTGGTATGGTCTACGAGAAATGACAGGGGAAAGAGGGATAAAAACTGGACCGCTATTACTACTCTTGGGTCTTGTGCCTACAAAAAAAGAGCTTCAATGGTTGTATCAAGTAAATGTTGACCCTGAAATTATTACATCACATTTTTCTTTCAAAAACTGTATCATAAGCAATTCTGCTGTAACCTATTTTTGACTTTTGATACAGAAATACAATCTTAAAAGCCACTTTAACACATTTTCTTCTCAAATTACATATCCTATTGTCTAAAGTTCAGAAATAGTGATGTCTATAATAACAGTGCGAAGAGATGACTTACCTCAGTTGGATAATCAAAAGTGACAAAACTATTCCTGCCCAGTGGTTTCTGAGGCTATTAACAGCAAGGGTTCGCAGCAGAGCCTGCATCCTGGTCTGGGCAGCACTATTACCCATGGCTTCCTACGTGGTTGCACCTACCAGAATAATGCTGAGGAAGTGGTGCATAACAAGGATGATAAATATTATAGTAGAGGAAAGCCTGTGAGCAGTGTCACCTGCGGAAGGTGGAAGGAAACCTGTCAGAGAAGGAAAAGGAAAACACTGTCCACTAATAAAAGAGAATGATGTAAAAGTGATCAGACTGCAGCTTGTCCAAAGTGGAAAACGTGAAAGGCCTAGAATAGCACAGGAGTCTCCATGAGTTCTAGCTGTCTCAAATTACCCTGGACGACAGGATGTCACTGAGCACCACCTCGTCCCAACACTGGGCTGGATCGTACGTCCACCGCCTCGTCCCAGCACTGGCCTGGATCCACTCGTGCACGTCCACCGCCTCGTCCCAGCACTGGCCTGGGTCCACTCGTGCACGTCCACCGCCTCGTCCCAACACTGGCCTGGATCCACTCGTGCACGTCCACCGCTCGTGCCAGCACTGGCCTAGATCCACTCGTGCACGTCCACCGCCTCGTCCCAGCACTGGCCTGGGTCCACTCGTGCACGTCCACCGCCTCGTCCCAGAACTGGCCTGGATCCACTCGTGCACGTCCACCGCCTCGTCCCAGCACTAGCCTGGGTCCACTCGTGCACGTCCACCGCCTCGTCCCAACACTGGCCTGGATCCACTCGTGCACGTCCATCGCTCGTGCCAGCACTAGCCTGGGTCCACTCATGCACGTCCACCGCCTCGTCCCAGCACTGGCCTGGGTCCACTCGTGCACGTCCACCACCTCGGGCCAGCACTGGCCTGGATCCACTCGCCTCGTGCCAGCACTGGCCTGGGTCCACTCGTGCACATCTACCACCTCGTCCCAGCACTGGGCTGGATCCACTCGCTCACGTCCCTTCTCTTGCTCCCATCTCCACTCCATATATACCCCTAAGCTCTCCCCACAATACTTTCCTCTTCATAAGAAATTTCTAGGCCTATCTCCTATATCCCTTGTTACTTCTCAACAATGTGGTGTTTTTCTCTAATGACTCATTATCAGTTATAACAGAGCTACTTCAAAATTGCCTGAATGGATCTTCTTGTCCACTGACACGCAAACAGAAATCAGTTTTCTAAAACTGGAAAATGCCAACAGATCTTGAGGGGGGCAACTGAAATAAACACCGAGTAAGATATCAATAGGCCAGTATTTTGACCTGAGCTGACATTTAACCTCTTCTAAGTAGCAGTTTTAAAAATGCAAAACAAAACTGTCAACTAGTAATGCTTCACGTCTAAATTTTTTCCATACTCCTTCCAAGGGAGAATTCAAACTCTCAGGTATTGGGTCATAAGTGTATAATTTTTGTGTTACTAGAGGCTAATTGAGGGAAAAAGCAGAACAGCTAAGTTCAGACTCTGGTAGAGTCTAACCTAAGATTTTAGTTAAACAAAAACTGCTTTCAGCATTTGGTGTCAACCATGGCAAAATCAGGAAGCCTCATTCACAATGTTTTCACTGACAAAAATAAGGAGGATAGGAAACCATGGGATTACAATGGACTTCAAATGCATCAAATCTATTGTTCCTTTTAAAAGTTTTTACTTTACTCCATTAAAGGGTAGTAAATTAGTGATACAGCTTTCTAACCACATCAGACCAAGTATGACTCAGAAAAACCCTGTGAACAACAGACACGACCCCTGTCTAGTCCTGTGCCATCCTCGGCACCTCTGACACATTTGAGGCCACTGCTGAATCCACTTCTTTTTCATCTACCTCCCACCTTTCCAAGGATGATGACTTTCTCCAGGAGAGAGCTTCTCCTAGTAACATGGCTAAAGTATGAGAGAAGTTTTGCCATCTTTGCCTCCAAAAAGCACTCTGGTTGCACTTTTCAAAAGCATATCTGTCTGTTCTTTTGGCAGTCCACGGGATATTCTGTGTTGTTCTCCAACACCACAGCTCAAAGGCATTAATTTTTCTTCTGTCATCCTTATTCACTGACTAGCTCTCAGCAGTGTAACAGGTGCCCAAAAAAGATCATGGTCTGAAGCAGGCGCACCTTAGCCTTCAAACTGACATCATTGCTCTTTGGTAGTATGGAGAGGTCCCTGATAGCAAACTTGCCAGTGCAATATATCCCCTGATTTCCTGACTGCGGGTACCAAGAATCCTGATTGCTGATCCAAAAACAAGACGAAATCACCGACAACATCCATCTATCATGATAGAATCCTCTCTCTATCTAGCATCATTTTTCCCATTGGCCCAGCGGTGAGAACTTCTGTACTCTTGATGTTGAGATGCAATCCATTTAGGGCTGCAGTCTTTGATCTTCTGCCGTAAGCCTTTCAAAGTCCTCCTCACAAGAACATTTGTGTTATTTGCATAAGATAGGTTGCTCACGAGTTTTTCTCTGCTCCTGATACAGAGTCATCTTTGTAGCTTCCAGCTTTGTGAATTACTTGCTCAGCATACAGACTGAATACCTATGGAGAAAGGATACATCCCAGATGCACTCCCTTCCTGACTCAAGGCCATGCCGTGTTCCCTTGCTCCTCATAGACAACGCAGTTCTACGGCTGGGAAGAACACCGCAAACGTCAGGTGGCGGTGCTTCCCTAAGGGTATTAAATCAGCAAAATGTAATAATTTGGGGTTAGATGAGATTACTCCTTAGAAAGAGACATAATATTTGGCAAGATGGAGGGTCAGCAAAACTTTATCCTGAGCTGCCCTGATCCTGAATTGTAACCTGTGACTTCCCTATAAAACCCGTAATTAAAAGTATTGTTTGTGAGTACTGTTTATCACCACAATACAGAATCAAACCCAGTAAAAAACAGTATCTGCCTTTAGGGAATGGTTGTGTCAGAACTGACAGAAAGTATGGAGCAGGTAGGGTATGGAGGAATGTCTGACTTCACAGAAACCAGCTTTACCCTGAGTTACTAGTGATAAGACTATTCCTCCTTGTGACATTAGTGAAGTCACAAATTGCTGGACTACTCTCTGCCCCCCAGCATATTCCTAACGCCACAAAAAAGTCTAACAAGGTTCAATTTGGTGTCATTTCTGTCTCTCATCTCCTGCCCACTTATTAATTATTAATTAGAATAGTGGCGTTATCTCTTATACCTTTCTGTCTTCCTAAAAGCTTGTTGTTGTCCTTGTTGGGTACCCACAGAGTGGAGGTTGACACACAGCAACTCTAGAGCATACATAGAAACTCAAGGTTTCCTCCACTGTTATGTGTGTTAATTTATACGTTCATGTAATGAATCACAATACATTCTCTATTACTTTTATAAGAATTGGACACAAAATAGGGTGGTTGGTTGTTGTTAGTGCCGTCAAGTCACTTGTGACTCACAGCGACCCTATGTACAGCAGCTCTGAGCCCTGCTCTTTTCTGAATCAATTTTATTGTCTCTGACACACCTATCCCCATTATCCCAGTCACTGAGTCAATTTGTCTCATTGAGAGTCTTCCTCTCTTGCACTGTCCCTCTACCCTTCCAAGCATAATATCCCTCTCCAAGGACTGGTCCCCCCTTGCAACATGCCCAAAGTATTTCAGATGAAGCTTCAGAATCCTTGACTCCAAGGAGCAGCCTGATTTCACTCACTCCAAGATGAACCTGTTTGTTCTCTCAGCAGTTCATAAAATAGAGTATATATGGAAAAAGACCAGTTGATGAATTTAGTCTACTTCTTGAGTTTGAGGGATTTATATGTCAAAAAGAAAGTATAATATATTATGTATAATACTAAAGTAGTACTCAGAAAAAGAATACAAATATTTTATCAAAATCAAGATATAATATTAGGCTTAAAATGGAAAGACAAATGAGTCTCAAGCTGACCATCAAGACTATGAATTTGTACTATGAGAAAACTTGGGTGGAAAAGTAATTTATTCTCTTTCAAATTATCTCCTAACAGTCTTTACCATACCTTAATCATTAACTAAAAGACAGTAATCATTTCGTACCACCATCTTTCCCAGCTTCTTGCTGCCAACAAAATAATGAAAACAAAAAAATACAGCACAATACACATTCCCAAGGGTTCAGTGCTCCTTACCTTTGCTTACAAATGTCTCTGATAGATGCTGCTTTTGCGATCACTTTCTCCCACTGGACTTCCTTGCCCACAGACAGAGAAGGTGCGTCAGACATGGCCATGCAACGCTGCAGCTCGGGATAGACACGATCCTAAGGAGGCAATTTTCATACAAGCAGGTAACTTCCAAACTTGTGCTGGGAAATCAGTACCTACATTCCTGTTGTAGTTTCACCTACGACTCTCACGGCTATATTGCAAATTATTAAAATGTATTTCTTCTAATAAGTCAGGGGGGAAAACTGCGATGATTGCTTAAGATTCTAAGAACTCTTCATGCCATGAAATAAAATTAGTCAATCACATTCAAATTACAAAGGCACTGACCACTTATAAATTTATTTATCTAGCTTTCTCATGCTAATGGAGACAAATTTCAGATATAAGGAAATCAGATTTTTTATAGTACCACTTTAAGAGTTAATCACAACTCAGTGTAAGTCAAAAGCATCACAAATAAACATAAATCTCTTATTGTAATTGCCACTGTCACTAACTTACTAACACTGCTATATCAAAGTACTTTCACACAAACTTATTTCTCTTTAGGGAGAAATACCACTAAAGTGAGTGTATATATCTGAACTTACTTGCTTTTCCCATAAAGATGTCAAAAGACGCAAAGTGACAGCCCTTAGCTGTGGAGTGGTTCCGAGCAGCTGGATTACTCGCAGAATCTGTCCTATGCACACCTAGAAAAATAGAAAAGAAACTCTAGTTTCATAAGTGCTAATGGTCCTGCAGCATTTGATGCAGAGAATCAAAGACTGTAGTCTGCAGTGTGGACTTAACTTCAACATCAAGAACACAAAGATTCTCACCACTGGGCCAACTGGTACCATCATGATAGATGGCAAAGAGACTGAGATTGTTAACAATTTCCGCTTGCTTGGTTCCAATCAACACTCTTGGCATCAGCAGTTAAGAAATCAAAAGAAGAATTGCATTAAGAAAATCTGTTGATAGGGACTTCTCCAGAGTACTAAAGAGCAAGGATGTCAATTTAGAGTCTATAGTGCAAGTGATTCAGGCGATGGTCTTCACAAGTACTTGCTATGCATCAGAGTGCTGGACAATGACCAAGGATGACAGAAGAATTGATACCTTGAATTGGGGTGCTGGCAGAGTATTAAACATACCATAGACTGCCAAGAGAACTAACAGGTTCTTCCTGTAGAGGGTGAAACCAAGCTGCTCCTTGGGGGCAAGGATTTTGGTACTCCATCTTACATACTCTGGGCATGTACCCAGGAGGAACCAGTCTTTGGAGAAGGATATCATATTTGGAAGGGTCAAAGGACAGCACAGGAGAGGAAGACCCAGGGAAGACAGGTTGATAGGACAGCTGGAGTAATGAGGGGGGATGTGTCAAAGACAGTGAGACTGGCTCAGGATAGATCAGGGTTCAGCACTGTTGTGCAAAGGGGCTCTATGAGTTGTAGTTACCTCAACAGCATGTAACAACAACAACAGTACAGATAACAAGAGGTTGCTAAGAGCATGTAAAAAATCAGTATTCACAAAGATGGAAATGAAAGCTTACTGCTTCTGATATTTGCAGTTGGCATGTTTAGAAGAGCCAGCTGCCAATCCTGGGAGGTTGGGGTGGGGGGAGGAACTTAATATTGGATACTAGTCCAAAGGAAAATTTGGATATTAAATTATTTTAAAAGTAATTCTCAAATATATAATGTAACAAAACCCTTAGCCTTTAGACATTATCACCTATCAAATGTGGTGCAACAAGGATCATACAACAAGGGGTAATAACCTCTTCAAAATTCAAGGCTCTAAATTTCAAATGCCAGAATTCAATGTGTTATTCAAGACACACGATCTTTTTCCTTTAATACAAACCTTGTGAATGCCAAGAGTAGGTAAAGTATACAAGATTTCATTGTATAACACAGGTTCCAGTGGTCTTCCTAATTTGAACATTAAAACTGGAATCAGATTTGGAACCTAAAAAGAATTTAAAGTTCATTACAATAAATCTAAAAGAAAGCAATGTGCATTTATCTTCAAAGAAACAGTATGAATATGAATATCTTAATACCAAGTTCATAAATAATAAGACTATATAGTTTCACCGTACTATTCATATTCTAGCTCCTTTTAAATTAGATTCTTCTCCCTTTTAAAATAGCTTCTAAAAACTGATCAAAATTTATTTTGGATCAACTCTGAAATAAACCCAGAGAAACATAAAAGTATTTAATGAATGTCTTGCTTTACTTCCCAACAAATTAGAGTTCTAGTAGATATCCAATATGTAAGATATGTAAATAATAAAGTAATTCTGCATAGGAAAATAATTACGTGGCTTAAATGACCAACAACTAAAAGTCAGGACCAACTCATAGATGACCAACTGGTAGTCATCAGAGGCTGCGCCAGAAGAGACTGTTCACCTTCCAAGAGCAGTTGGTGAATTCGAAACCATCTGCCTTTGGGTTGGAAAAGCAACTCCTAACCAACTGGGTTACCAGAGGGTCACCAAAATTCCTGATATGTAAAAAAATTAGGAAAATTCATGGGTCAAGATACCTAAAATTGTTATGATTATAATACTCGACAAATTGAATTACAGATTCAACATAATCCCTATGAGAATCCCAGCCTACATCTTTGTAGAAATTGACAGCTCACATGTTAATTCATGTAAAACTTAGAGGAATTCTGAATAATCAAAACCATTTGAAAAAGAAGAAGAAAGTTATAGCATAAATAATTTTTCAATTAAAAATTTACTATAAGCTACCAGCTTCTTCATGAGAAAAAGATAGGAAATCTCCTCCCATTTGATTTACAGCCTCTGAAAACCCACTAGAAGGTCAGCTATGAGTTGATTTTGTTGCGTTTGATAAAGCTACAGCAATCAAGACAGTGTAGAACTGGCATGAAAACTTACGTGGAGATTAACAAAATAGAGTGTCTAGAAACAAACCTTTATACCCACTGTCACTACCTTTCAACAAGGATGACAAAATCATTCAAAAGGTAAAGAATACGGTTTTAAACAAATAGTGTTAGGATAATTGAATAATCCCATGAAAATAATAAAATTAGACTCTTTCTTCACACCATACAAAAACAAAAACAACATTAAATGAATCTTAGGCCAAAATAACTGTAATGATGAAATTCTTAGGAGGGAAAAAAATATAGGCAGAAGAATTCAAAGCCTTGATTTTGACAAAAGATTCAAAGATGGAAGAACAAAAGCACAAGTCACAAAATAAAAGAAAATCACCAAAATTTAGAAATTTAGTACTTCAAGGGCTACTATAAAAAGAGTCTACAGACCAGGAAAAAGTACTTTTAATCAGATATCTGATGTATACAGAACACATATAAAGAACTCGTACAATTAAATAATTGAAAGACAATCCAAGTAAAAGATCCACAAAGGCTCTAAATAGGTATGTCACCAAAAAGATATACAAAGGAACAATAAATACATGAAAAGATGTTCAATATCATTAGTCATGAGACAAATGTAAATTGAAACTGCAACTCATTATCCATTCACATCCATTAGGACAATAACAACAACAACAAAAAAATAACAAGTGTTAACAAGGGATCAGAAAAACTAAATTCCTCATATGGTGCTGATGGGAATGGAAAATGTGCAGCCATGTTGGAAATCAGTCAAGCAACTCCTTTAAAGGGAGCCCTGGTGCCCTAGTGGTAAAAAACTGCATTGCAATCCCAAAGGCATAAGGTTTGAATCCACCGCCTGCTCTACGGGAGGAGGCAGAATCTCCTTCTGTATGAATTTACTAGCTCTGAAAGGCCTCTGGAGGGTCAGCTTTGGGCCGGTTCCAACTCGATGGCACAACAACAACAACAGCTCCTTAAATGGTTGAACCCAGAGTCACCATACTGCCCAGCAATTCCACTCTCGGGTCTGTTTTTGTTAGGTGCCATCATGTTGGTGCCAATTCATAGTGGTCCAACGTACAATGAGCAAAACTCTGCCTAATGCTGCAGCGTCCTCAGCAAACCCTGCTGTGCTCAATTCACTGCTACATCACAGCGTCAGTCAATGTCCTTGAAGGTCTTCCTCTTTTTGGCTCATTTTCCACATTTCTAAACACAATGTCCTTTTCAGACACTGGTTCTTCCCAACAAAGTGCCCCAAGTGTTTTGGACAAAGTCTCACTCTCTTTATTTCTAGAGAATATAGCTTCACTTCTTTCAAGAAATGTCTGTCTGTTCTTTGGAAGTACACAGTATATACAATATTCTTTTTCAATATCACACAAGTATAATTTCTTCTTTACTGTAAAATTTTCATGTGTAAATTAAAAACATCATGGCTTTGGTCAGGTGTATTTTCGTCATTAACTAAATCATCCCCACTACCCATAAATAAAAACATATGCCCATAACAAATTACATGAGTTTTCATAACAGAATTAGAATAATCAAAAAGGAGAAAGAACTTAAATTTCCAACATTCAATGAAATATTATAGTAAGGCCACAAAAACTATTTATGCTGTAACATGGATGAATCTTGAAATAATTATAAGTGAAAGGCACTAGTCACAAAGACCACATAGTATATGAATTCCACTTACATAAACAACTCAGTGGTAAAGAGTCGTGCTGTCAACCCAGAGACATGTGGTTCAAATCCACTAGCTCCTCTGTGGGGGAAGGATGGGCATTCTCCTCCCATGTCATTTACTGCATCTGAAAAACCACTGGGGGGTTGCTTGATGGTTCACAACAACAACAACCAAAAGGCAAGGCTAGAGTCAGAATGTAGATTTCTGGTTTCCTAGGGCTGGGTCCATGTTGTCTTCCTGCCTAAAGCTGGGGGCAGTGGTCAAAAATGAGCAAGAACTTGCTAAGGAACATAGGCTTGCCTTTATCTTTTTTTTTTTAGGTAATTAAGATGTTTTACAATTGACTATACTAAACGTCATTGAATTCAACAAAGTGTCTGGTATTTGAGTCATATGTGAAGAAGGTTTTAAAAAAAAATGTGTTTCCAAACAATTTCGTTAAAACTGTGAAAAAGCTACTATATTTGATGGTACCAAATGTGTTCCCATGAAATTTTCTTTTCCATGTACGACAAACCACTTATCGGTTCCATTTCTTCTCTCTGTGCTAATCATACGTCTACTCCTTTTAAGCACAGAAGACACCTCCTTTAACTCAATTTTAAGAAGATAAAAAATCCTCTTAACCTAACCACCAAAAAGTGACAGTTAAACATTAATTCATTAATGAGTCGCCCATGATATATCAAGGCAGGATGTGGAGGCAAGCACGTAATTACCACAGCCGCACACCACACAGCCAGAATTTATGATGTTTTTAACAAGTGCTGGGATTCTATTAGAACAAAAGGTCCATCACCCTCACCTCTAGCAAATGAAGGCAGACAAATTTCTGAATTGGCTTCTTATTTCCCATTTTAATTAAAAACAAAAGGTTATCTTAGATTGCCTTGTTCAGGTCTCAGTGAATTTCTCTTTCTGAGAAGGACATCTACAAAGACACTTTGGGAGATATTTAGTTCCAGGAAAGGCAATGAGTCAGTCTGGTGGCATTTTACAAAACAGTGTATTTATCCATGTCGCTTTCAAAGAAAAGTTTTAATTACATGGTCGGCAGACAAAGAACTCTATGTCTAAGAGTACAGTTCTTTTAAGCCACGCTCTAAAGAAGTATGTCAAGGCATTTCTTATTCTCTGACCAACTTACAATCAAAAACTGAGTGCAGCTCTTCAGACTAGTATGCTGCTGTTATATGCTGCTGAGTAAGAATCCACTCACAACAGACCCCATGAGAGGAGACTGCTCATCTTTCTCCCATTCAGACTATTAGGGCTGTAATCAAATCTTCAGCTGTATGGGAGTGACACAAAAGAGAACATTTCATTTGGAAAATAGCAGTTCTTCCTTAATTTGATGCCATAAATACTGTCTGTAAAAGTGTATCTAAGATGCCATTATCAGATCCTGATTCCCATACTCTTTAACCTTCTCCTGTCCAGAAGGTGCTCAAGCTGAAAAGAAAATTACTGCCCAGATTTCAGCTTAAATGTAAAATAAACCGGTAAGTGCTCTACAAGTCACAGTCACAGCATCGCTGATTTTCTCAAATATGATATAGCAAATGCTTCCCCATCTCTCCTTCAGGAATCATGTTTTTGATAAACAAGTTGATTTAGAAGCAAGGGATTGGTGCTTAGGAGTCAAAAGAAGCTTTGTCAAGTTCATTTACTTGATTTTACCTCACGGGTGATAAAACTAAAGCCCAAAGGGATCACAATGTTAGCTGATAATAGAATGAGGACAAGAGCCACAACTGCACTTACCTCCGCCCCTCTTTCTTTGGCAGAGTAACAGCAAACACATATTCCATGCTACCTATCAGGGAGCCCTGGAGACTAAGGTGCACCTGATACAGGCCACAGTCTTCACAGTTAATTGCTAAGTGTCAGAAAGCAGGACAATGACTAGGGATGGCAGAAGGAGAAGTGATGCCTTTGAGCTGTGGTGCTGGAGAAGAGTACTGAATATACCTTGGACTGCTAGGAGAACAACCAAGTTCACCTTAGAGAGGGTGAAACCAAGCTCCTCCTTGGAGGCAAGGATCTGACCTACTTTGGAAGGAAGAACCAGTCTCTGGAAAGGGACACCATGGTTGGGTGGATACAGGGACAGTACAAGAGAGGAAGAACCTTGATGAGAGGGATTGATTCAGTGACTGGGCTCATGAGGGCAGGCGTGTCAGACAACAAAGGTGGCACAAGATAGAGCAGGGTTCAGAGCTGTTGTACACAGGGTGGTTACAAGTCACAAGTGACTCAACTGCATGTAACAGCAACATCAGGGAGCTCTCAGTAGTAATTATGCAGCCAACACAAAGGCATGCAGCTGCTCCACAGAAGAAAGATGGTAACCTCCTCCCGTGCAACTTGCTGTCTCTGGAGA